GGATAAAATCCAATAATACCAGACCCTTTGTCGAATTGGACAAAAGGGTCAATATTTTATTCTCAAGCCTTTGAGAACTAGGCGCGGTTGTAGAAGTCCATCGGTGAAGTTGTTGGGTCAAGACTTATTACAACGACTCCACGACTTGCAGGGTTAAAATTTCTTGCTGATATCATACCCTCAGCCGTCCCAGTGCAAAGCACCCTCTCTTCGAGGTGTAAGTTATAAGCCACGAGACGCACCACTTTGTTATCGCGGGGGGAGAGGGGGGGTCTGTATTGCGGCATCGAGAGAGGAGGGTGGATGCAACGGGGGGCGGTCCCTTTCCTGCTTGTGCGAGTACTCTCGAGTCTTGAGTTGGCTTGGCTATCAACTTTTTGGGTGGGTTTAATAATACGTATGCAACGAACCAACAAAGGGTTGATCCAGCAGATCACCAGCCTTGGCCACGATGCATACTCTTTCCGCTGCGGCATGAGCTGACACGGGCCTGAATCTTCAAACGAATGCCGACTCGACTCTCTCATGATGGTTAAAATGGAAGCTTCTTGTTATATCTGGGGATTTGGATTGTCAGCTTCAACTGACTGCCCTCACAGCGTGATGCTAATGTTTGGAGTAGTCAACCGGTTTGTTTTGGGCACACCACCTGCAGCCCCGGTCTATTCTTCCCTGTATATGGCGCATTCTTTGCCGTTTTCGCTGTGCAAGCATGTTATCCCCGCTGTTTCATGGATGGCTTCCCCTGGATGAAAGAGTCTGGTTAGTCCCAGAACAAATGCTTCGCATAATCCTCCTGGTTTAGCCAACGTTGTTATACATACACTAAGGCTGATGCAGTACGTTGTTGCATGAAGGAACTTGACCGAAGAGAGTTCCGCTACTCCACCCAGCCGTTAGCATCCAACGAAGAAGACATTGAATTGGCTCTTGCTAACACGATTGCTGTTCCCAGGGGCGTGACTAGCTGACTAGCTGGAGGCATACAAAGCCGACAGGACTCAGAAGCTCCAACTTGATTCTTTTTTGGGGATTCCAGATTCATAGACATATCAGCATAGATATCGATATGATCGCAACAAGTCGAGATGGTGCCTGATCAATTTCCAACCATGATAGGGTGAGGGTTTGCATGTATTCCAAGTCTCTTTACATGAACTTTCTGGCGCGCTTCGGCGAACCATCAATTCAATGGTACGTTGACAAGTGAGAAGGACAAGGGCAGAACCATGGGCTAGACACCTTTTCTTTGACCAGTCGTTCCCCATCCCTCGGTCAAGAACTAAGACAAGGATTCCCGTAGCCAAGTCAAAAATCCCCAGCCGAGCGCAAATGGGGCCGCGGGTCTGCAGCCGCCATCCCTGACCCAGTCTGTTCCCCTGACGAAAAGGTGCTTGTTCCCGGTTCACATCCCAGACAGGCAGGCGGCTGGCTCCTCGATCTCGTACCATGACAGTTTAACGTTCCATTGCCTTTGTCCGCGCCGGCGGATAGGTTCATCCCGGACAAGCATGCCTCGAACTACTCTGTACTGTCAGCAATTGCGAAAGGCCTTTCGCCTGCTCAGGGTCTTCTTGTTCCTTGAAGGTATACCCTTCCGTTTCCTCACGACTAATAAGCAGACAGAAGCTGGTGTCTTGTTATCCGCTTGCCTCACGTAATGCCGCCTACGGCCTTCTGCTTGCCCCTGCGGAAAAAAGCCAAGCCACATTATCGAGTTACCATCTATGGACCATGTCGTCACTGTGGCCACAACACAGGCCTCAGCAAGTCGTCGCGTCGTTCGAATAGCAAAAGTTTTGTGTTCAAAACACGGCCCGACTGTTCTCCTTTTTCTCCACAGGTAGAAGTCATGGACAAATTATTGAATGTAGACTTGTGTCTGTCATGCCTTTTATGCCCTCGGACAAAGCACTGTTGTGTTGAACATCGAGGTGAACAGACTCTCAGATGGCCTGGTCAATATGCGAGCTATTTGTCCGTTGGTCCTTCTGTGGTCGCATTTCTCACTTGCTAGTCCAGTGCTCGTGTGCTTACATCGTAATGACAAATAGCAATAGTACTCATAATAGCCCATGCGGGTTCAGACTAAGTCGTCAAGTGCAAAAAGATTTTGTGAGTTCAATGCAGACGTACAATATCGGGTACAGTTATCGACTAGCACGATTTCAAAAAGGCAATTGCAGCTACAGAACATGGACCATGCCTTCCTCCCCTGCAAAACAGATTGACCTGTCACATTAAGAAGCCAACGCCATACCCTTCCATCAGTTGATCAATTCATTGTTATTTCATCATTCCAGATGCCTACATTCATCAATCCTACCCTACCAGATATTACTGTTCGACACAAAGGCCTCTTCTTGCATGGACCTTGATAAATGATTGTCCCGCCCGTGGACAACGGCCGCCAAGTTGCACCAACCGCTGCACGGGTGGGGAGACTGCATGCATCCGGAAATTAGAAGCCGACTGGTTTTGCCGTTTATTCCCCTTCCCGACGCACGAACCAACAGAAGGTCAGTGAAATTGTACTCTTCCCCATCAATATTTGAGCCCCGGGTGCATTAGACGGAGCTCTGCTGCTACGTAGGTTACCAAGCGTCTTCAATATCGTTGGTTCAAGACGGATGGTACCCGTCAAGTTGTCAGTAGTTCAACAACAGGCAATATTTGAAGCCCACTTGGTGAAAAAAGACTAATGAGAAAGGGCAGTGCAAAAGCGGTAATTTGGACCCGCGGATTCGGTTGGCAAGTATTTATTTCAGACCTGTGACTGGCTACAACCTCCCAGTACTACTACTACAACAACAACAACTACTACTACTACTACTACTACAATTACTACCACCAGGTCGAAAGCTGGCAGCGCCGCCACCTCGCTCGTGCCCCAGACAAAAACAATTCTTTGTTGAATTCACTATTTCATCTATACCTGGCTTGTTAAACTTGACACAGACTTTGCGTCTGTTGGTCAGTCGCTGCCGCGAGGAGAGAGCAGCGTGGCACATCGCATCACATCCTCGCCTCCGGCTCCTTCGAAGACCTGACTTGTTTACATGTTTTTTGCCCTCCTCTGGGTGAGACGGGCCCTTCTTTTCCTTCCGCACGATAGAGATCCGAGTCAATCGAGCTTCCATCTACCTTGACGGAACACGCCTATTGCTCCAGGTCATATTAACAACATGAAACTTTCGCTTCTGTCAGGACTAGCTACTGTCGGGCTGTTCACTGGCTTGGCAACTGCTCAGGCCAATGGTACAATTGACAATGGTCCATTCCCTGACGAGCTCAATGGCTCCAACTTTAGCTACCCGTGGCCGGTCAAGGTGTTCAAATTCACCAGTCAGCAGCAGGACCTCCAGATGGCCTTTATGGACGTCAAGCCAGCCTGTAGGCCCAATGGCAAGACTGCTGTTCTCTTCCACGGCAAAAACTTCTGCGGTCCGACATGGCAAGATACCATCCGCGTTCTAGCCGCCAGAGGCTACCGTGTTATTGCTCCCGATCAAATTGGGTTCTGCAAGAGCTCCAAGCCGGATGCGTACCAATTCAGTCTGAATCAATTTGCCTGGAACACACGCGGTCTGCTCAATGCAGCTGGCGTTGGCAATGTCACCGTCATTGGCCACTCCATGGGCGGTATGATGACTGCTCGCTTTGGGCTCCAGTACCCCGAAACCATTGAGAAGATGGTCATGGTTGATCCTGTCGGTCTGGAGGATTACGTTCAAAAGGGCGTTCCCTACATCAGCATCGACCAGTCTATTGTCAGTGAGGCCGCATCCACCTACCAGTCAATCAAGGGCTACGAGCAGGCGGTTTACTACGTCGGACAGTGGAAGCCTGCTTATGATACCTGGGTCAACATGCTTGTCAACATCTACAACGGCCCTAAGCGCAAGGCCTATGTCAAAAACCAGGCTCAAATTGTCGACATGGTTCTCACCTCGCCCATTGCCCACTACTTTGGGGACATTAAGCCACGTACGCTTCTCATTGTTGGAAATAAGGATAAGACTGCGATTGGGGCTCAGTGGTCTCCCCCAGCTGTTGCCGCCAAGCTGGGCCGTTTCGACATTCTCGGTCCCGAGGTTGCCAAACAGCTGCAAAACGGAGAATTGTACCAGTTCCCCAACCTGGGCCATGCGCCCCAGCTTTCCGACCCCAGCAACTTCCACAAGGTCCTGTTGGCGTTCTTGAAGAAATAAAGAAGTAGATCAGTTTCGGATAGCATGATGAGGAAGAGCAAATATTTGTGTCCATATCGGCCCTGTAATACTTAAATTAGTTCTGCAAAAAGACAGCTTCGGCACTAGTGTGCTACGAGAGCAGAGTTAGAAGTGTCCCAGACCTCCAGGCTTTCTGCTCGTGTTATTCGCCAAAACTTGGGCCAGGCAAGCAGTCAGGCTACTCAGGCACCTCAAATACGCTTCATGTTCCTCAGCCACATTTCTCCCACTGACCGTGCCTCTTCAACCCTTTCGTGAATTTTGGTTCGCCGATTTCGGACGTATATATTCGCAAAACCTGGCAACAGTGAATAAACGACAGGCAAGGTAGTTCATCTGAGCATAAATTGTAGACGAAGCTTGGGATAGAGACGAACGCTGAGTATTGCTTCAGCACTAGTTGAGTGCTTTTACGGGTTCGATCGTTTGATTAAACAAGTCATATTACAGTGACTGACCATATTAAAAGCCTTGCTTGAGACAGGTATCGGGGTTGGGGTAGGAAATAAAGCCAAGCTGTCTCATGTTGTCTCGTGTCACGGCCGACAAGTCGAAGTTTCCTGCCTTCCAATTACAAGTCCCGCAATGACCTTGTATAGTGGGTTGTACCTCCCGCAACCAGTCAAATGACGTAATGATCGAGGCACCCCAACCCAGCTCAACCTCAACGCTCAACCTTAAACCATAACTTCAACCTCACCGTCACCAACAAACCTCATAGTACGCACAACAACTAGGTTTCCCACTCATACCGCAAAGCCCATTACAATGACGACCTACATCCCATCCCTGACGATTCCCTCAGTTGTTCTCCAGCACTCCGCGGCATCCGTGCTGCTCCCGATAGCTCTAGGAACTGCTGTCGGGTTTGGAACGCGCCGTACGCATCAAGCTTCTTGCTCGTCGCACAACACTAAGCTAACTGGTTTTCCAGCGTCAAAAACCCAAAAAACGTACTTGGCCTTGAAGCAGCCGCCTCTGCGACCGCCACCTTGGGTATTTGGTCCAGTATGGACAGTCCTCTATGGGTGCGTAAATCCATCATCTTCCCCGAGCATCAACATGGACAAGTCGCTATCCTCCCATCCCATCCCCCTCTGACAGAGGCCCTGGAAGCCCCGTCATTCGTTCCGTGTAGTCCCCTAGACTAACAAGCCCAGCGTAATGGGCTACGCATCCCACCGCATCGCCACAATCGGCCTCAGATCATCCGCCTCGCCCGCAATCGTGGAAACGGCGCAGAACAGTCTAACTCTCTACACGGTGCAGCTTGGCCTCAATCTAGCCTGGATGCCACTCTTCTTTGTGGCTAAGCGCCCCGCCGAAGCAAGCATCGACATTGTCACACTCGTCGGAATGAATGCGTATTTGGCATATCTTTGGAGCTCGATTGATGAGGTTGCTGCGTGGTGTCAGGTTCCGTATCTAGGCTGGCTGGGCTTTGCAACGTATTTGTGTGTTGGGGCAGGGTATTTGAATGGTTGGGACTTGCATGATAAGGAGGTGAAGAAGGAGTAAGGATGCGGGATGCACAGGGAATATGGAAAAGACTTTCGATTACTCATCAGAGTTTTGGTCTGGTTCATACGAGAGTTGTACGTGTGTCGCTTGTAATGATTATTTGAGCCGAAAAGAAGAATGCTCGTCATAGTGTTAATTTTATGGAACTCCTCTATATCTATACCTGATATTCCCAGTATAGTCGTGGTGCAAATCAGACCCAGTGGTAACCCTCAACGCCATGCAGATGACCGTCATAAGTAAAAATGAAGAAACAGGAAAAGGGGGGGAAAGCGCACAAACTAAAGTGTGCATTGTCTCGAAGGATACAGGTCCCTCCAATAACAAGAGAGTTCCGAGCGAGAGCAAGTGCCTGGCCGTTACTGCAGGGGAAAGTTCCTCTTCAGCCCATCATAAACCATAAATATAAACGCAGAGCTGGGTGCTGAGCGCAGACAAGTAATACCACAGCCGCGATATAGGCCACGGACTCCGTATTGACGCCATACTGCGAGGCCCTCATCCCAAAATGTCCGCTTCTGTGCCAGCGTGCCTACGGCAATAGTCTGCATGCGAGACTTGATTGTGTCGGCAGGGAAAAAGAGGAAATTGTAGGAAACACCGGCTGAAGCACCGGCGACAGCTTGCTGCCAGAGTGGCAACGGGTCGGCCCTGATCCTCTTCGCCTCATCCAGAGACTTGGCCGCGCGCGTCTTCATGTTGTAAAACAGCGACGTAACCGTCTCCTTGGCTCCGAACCAGGCGGCACTCCCTCCGCCTTCTCTGATGAGCGTTCCCATCTGACCATGCCAGAAACCCCGTAGCCCCTCGTGACGAAAGACATTGCGCACAACAGCAAGTGGCCGCATAGCAGGAGCAACAGCACCGTCCGCATGCTGAGGCACCTGGACTTTGCACTTGACGAGTTCAATGGGGGTCAAGACAAAGGAAGCACAAACCCCGGAGAAGGCACCGGTCACCCATAGAGCTGGAACAGAGAGACCCTTCTCTCGCGAAGCAAGGCCAGTAGCGAGCAATAGCTCGCGCCCAACCTTCTCGAAGAGGAAGAGGCTGCTCGTCTCGGCGGCGGCTCCAACTAGCGGAGCGCTAATGCCTCGGTAGAGTCCCAAGAAGCCATCCGCCTTTAAAGATTGTCGAAAACAGTCGAGCGGGCCGGTATATCGAAGAGGAAGATGGTCGGGCTGGCTTTGCAGCCGTACCTTGACCGTGTCGAAGGGGTACTCGATGTATTTGCCGACAATGCCAGCAATCTGTCACAAAAAGAAAACAAGTCAGCATGGCCTTCATTCATTGCAACTAGCGCCCAAGGCAGGACGGAAATCAAAATCAGACAGAGAGAACAAAAGGCACTCACCGATCCATAGACAATACCCTCAAATGCCTCTATGAGCGCCGAGCTGCCCCGAAGCGCCAGCTCCGTGGGCATGGCCGACGAGGGTTGGGCAGCGATTTGCGCGTGGTCCATGTCGGAGGGAAAGTCGGCGGCGGGCCGGCGAAGCAGATGGTATCTGTGATCGGAGACGGGAAAAAAAGTGGTGGAAAGCCCTCGCTACGTCTGCTCCGGTGAGGAGACAGCTCTCGCGAGGAGGAGGTCAGGCTTTTCAAAACTGGGACGTCGCACTTGCACCATATATAGTATTTCTCTTCTGGGTGTAAGACGGACGGGAAGGAGGGAAAAAAAAAAAAGAGATGGACCCCAGAGGTGTTTGGCTTCGCAGTTCTAGAGCCTCGCAGCGATTCTGACGTGGGGCATTTGCATTTGCCCGCGCAACACTGAAGCTTATGGGGGGGGCCGCCTTTGCAGGGATGGTTCTGACGACGGTTGCAGGGATCAGTTGATGACCCAGAGACTAGCAGTATTCACAACCCAGCACCTTGCAAAAACGAACAGGAATACATATATGTGTGTACAGCTGCAGATGGAAGGATCCACGTGCAGACAGTAGATCAGGATCAAAGGGGATATGACAAGAAGGACAAGGAGAGAATGGGGGGGACGATGGCAGGCAGGTGATGGCGGCCGACTGGTTTATATGCTGCGGTGCAGAGTGGCCGGAATTATACTACAATAGGCGAAGATCGTGCCCAGCTGTTGGGAATTCCGTGCTTAAGCTTCTGGCGGTCTACCACACCGGTTCCAGATGCCCCTTTCAGACTCAAATTTGTCCGCATGTCAATGTCGGCCATGGGCGCTCGACTAGATTCGAGCTGAAGGCGTGACGAGTGCACAGTGCCAAGTACCGTCTGGTGTCGAATCATCATCGGGCGGTATCGGTCTCGACCCTGGTGCCCCGTGGTTGTTTGTTGCATTGACCCCAGCCAACATTGAACATTGAACGAACATTGAACTTGACAGTTGCCGCCCGATGCGGTGGCGCCCGCAGCACTCAAGTACACCAGACTGTACCTATTAACAGTCAGTACTCTGCACCTCGGTGTTCTGTCTGCTGACGTGGGCTTAGACTACCAACATTGACGCTACATGTACAGTGTGCCAAATCGCGGGCAATACTCCATAAGTAGGCATGGATGCATTGACGCTGGGTTCCCTTCCTCAGTTCTCATCACGGCAACCCGGCCCATGGCAGAGCAGCACGCCGATCCCCTTCACCCTCTCAGCCATCTAGGAATGACGTGCCTGGCCCGTCGTTGCGACCATGTGGTAGCACCCGGAACAAACAGGTGGGATATCACCCGCGCGAGGTCAAACCGCTTGCACCGTTGCACTGACAGCCACTGGGCGAGACTTGCCTCTGCTTAGCACAGCCTGCTTGCCGTGTTGCCGGCGCACAGGCTTGGCCGTTTTATTTTACTCAAGCCGGAATGCCACCGTTGTATTGGGACGCTGCCGAATTAAGCGGCCTGGGACCTTGCTATGAACGCCTGCGCGGCCTGGCCGGTATCATGGTACCAAAGAGGGGGAAGGTTGCGCTTGTCTCACGGCTCTTTTTTTTTTCTTGGTTCCGTCTTTCTCCTGGCTGCTCAATGTTCCCTGGTAGGTTCCAGTTTCATCAACTTGCTCCTCCATTGCTGCAAGTCACTTTGCGAGAAAGTATAGTTATGTGTCGCCTAGCCGCACATACTCCACAGTGTACACAGCGTGCCCAGCTTGACCGGCTCCGATGGGACCAGCATTCGCATCTGATAAGATGCTGAGACTAAAATTCCCGCAAAGTTACGGAGCACACACTAGCACTTGCATATTTCACCACTCTAAACCCCCGAACGGAACGGGGGTCGCGGCGAATGAAGTTGTGGTGGCCGGTCCAGGGATATCTCGGCACCTGGCCAAAAACCCACCATTGCCATGCCTCACCAAGGCTTGGACTTGCCTGAAATCTGCCTCGTAGATCTCTGGACGTGGTTTGGGCTTATGTATGTATGGTGATATTATGGGTCCATCCATTCCACAGTTTAATGCAATGTGCCTTGATTCTATGAGACTTTCGGTCCGTCTAGAGCTGGCAAACTCGATTTTATTATCCTGTGTTCAGACTCGCCCCTCTTGGCACAACCCTATTTCACATCCATGCGGTGTACCCCTAACAACGCGACAATACTTGGGCAATCAGGGAGGGGAATGGGGGACAAAGGTAGAGTCCCTCAATAGTGAATACTATATTGTACAACCTGTTATTCCTACCACCCAGCGTGGCTCAGCACTATTGGGAGTCTCCCGTTTTGGCACCTTACTGCTTCTTCTTGTTGGCCGCCTTGCTAGCAGGAGTATCCTTCTTCGCCGCCAAAGCAGCCTCGTCGTCTGAATCTCTCTTCTCCGCATACCACTGTCCGGCCTGCAGAACTAGAACGCCAATCAATACAAGTGCCAAGATGGTATTGCTGGCAGAGAGCACCCTCAAGCTGTCCTCGCGTCCCAGAATCACCTCGCCATCGAACCTAGCCTTGGCATTCTTGAAATCATCGCTGTCAAAGTAGCCCGAGCTCATGGTACGCAGGCCCTTGACAATGTTGGTAATGTACACGGCAACGCCAATCGTGTAGAGGATCAAGGACGCGCCATCAAACAGGAAGTTGGCCTCGCTAGGTCTGAACAGCTTGATGAACAGCCCCAGGAACCCAACGCTTACGATGATGTTGAGCATTCGTCCGATGAGAGGTGGCGACTGGTGAATGAACTTCAAGTGTGTCTCGATCTGATCATAGTAGCTGGCCGGAACGGGCTCCTTGCTCCAGAGCAGTGGGAAGTCGTAGGGAAAGGACGCGAAGAGGATTCCGAGGAAAAAGCAGGTTGCTGCAACAAAGTGCCACGTTAGCACGATACATGCCCATGATCATTTAGGTTGCGCCGTGATGCGCTCGTAGACAAGCATACGTCCGATAATCATAAACGTCGAGAAGGATCCGGACCCGCGATAATTGGATGACTTGGTCGTCTTGGACCAATCGATATAGGAGCCCATTTTCGAAAGGATGATGAGGCGAGAGGCCGGCTAGATGCTATTATGTGCTAGTCGTATGCGTGCACGAGGAGACGTCACCGGAGCTGGTGTCTGGTCGTATTGAGGTGTTTTGTCGCGAGGCAACACGCGAATTTTGTCGCCAAGTGTGTGGAGACAGCTTAATGTGGCGTCGCGAGGCGGAGTGTGGGGGACCTGGAGCTTACTCCGTGAAGACATCCACAAATAGGTGCAGGCTCATTACTCGTGGCCAACACGCCAGATTGTTAGTAGCTACGTGTGGGTATCGCCAATTTGCTAACGGAGGAGTTGCATCTCCATCATTGGCCATTTCGAAGGGGCTCCTTCCTCGTCGTCGTTTTCTTGGGCAAAAGTGGAAAAGAGTCAACTGGTTTATCCAATTGAGAAGACAATATGCGAATGTTCCTCTATATTATCTCCTAGTGGTCTTTATTTTCACCTTTATCGTTTTTTTTTTTTTTCCGCCGCCCCTTCACTCGTTCATCAATCACTCAGCAAACGACTACTTCAACTGCGAGGCTCAGTGGAACCTATAGAGACGGGGGCTCTTGCCTCCTTACATTGACTTCGTCAGAATTATCTTTTGACTTGTTAGCCGCAAATCCAGCCAGAATCTAACGACAGCCGAAAAACGACAGACGAAAGAATGCTCAAATTGCTAGTCATAAGTCTGCAAGCCTGTCACTAGCAGCTCGAAAGAGCCAGACATGTGAGAAAATGGCATACCCTATACCACACCGAAAACCAAACCGTTCATAATTTCCCCAAGCATGTTCAAGAAGACGTCATTGATTGCTGGGTCCGAGGTGAAGGACGGAAAGGTTACTTGCATTGAGTATGGTAGGCTTCTTGTGGTTTTCTAACGTGCAGAGTTGCTGCCAATGACTCGTAACAACTGTTTTAATATGTAAGAAGGAGACTCGGCTAACAAATGCATCTACAGCGGCATGTGGCAAAGACAGGTTCAGACTTGATAATCTTTAAAGATTAAAAGACCAATTACAAGATGCACATGGGATGCGGCTGCCGATTGTTTCAGCTCAACAAATAAGCGAGCTAGACCTCCTAATCCGAGTTCGTCATAGCCAAAGACCGAAATGTTGCAACTGTTCACATCAGCCATCTACAGCAGGCAAATCCTTATTCCCTCCAACTCAACCACTGTCGGTAGCCTGATTAACCGGGCAGCCGGGACACCCATGGCACCGGATGAGGCAATTAAAACTGTGGACAAGGAGTGTGATTACAATCGGCAGGGATGATGGGGCACAACCGCCACACACTTTTATCAGATGATCAGATAATCGCACCAAAACACTGTTCAATTATGCCAAGACAAAAAGCCCACCAACAAATCAAGCCAAAACATTAGTTAACTACTAGACGGCAGCCACAGGGACAGGCAAGGCATCCTTAGAAAACCCAGGGTATCCTTTTTGACGCCATTCCTGAAAAGTTACGCCTCCTGCAACAGACGGCATTTTCACCATGAGGGGCACTTCGATGTCCTTTTCCGTTCCGAGTACCTCGGCCTTGTGAACAATCTTTTCTGGCAGCAACTCGAATCCCATCTTCTTGTACAAGTTCACTGTCGAGGGAGATGACTCAAAGTACAGAGGCAATCCGGCCAGCTCGCCCATCTGCATACCCCACTGAACCAGGAGCTGTCCCGCCTTGCGTCCTTGATGCTGAGGATCCACCGCAATAACGTGGCAGTCTAGATTCTTGTCAATTTCCACATCACGAGAAGCCACATTGCATTGCATTGCTTCGCTTACAGATGTATGGCCGCCCACCAAAGAGCCTCTCTCTCATTTCCCACAGGGGGTTGAGGACCGTCTCGGCTCGTTCCCGGTGTTCTCCCTCCAACCACGGAACTCCATGGTTTTTGCGCTCTTCCGGAGACCGCTCCCGAAGATAGACATCACCAAGACCCATGCCGATAATTTCGCCTGTGGATGTGTCGACACATTTGAGCGTGTATTGGTTGTCACTGCTATGCCAGTATTGCAATGTCCCGGCAGCGTGTCCTTTTCTAAACTCATCGTCGGTGATTTGCGCGCCCGGGAAAAGAATTTTGAGCATGATCTGACCCATTAGGTCGTGCTCAAAGGCAGAAAAGTACACATCATAGATGCGACGAATATCTGGAATAAGGGCTGGGAGAATGACTTGACCCATGCTGGACAGAATTTACAAGGTCAAAAGAAGCTTTTTGGGGTAGAGTTGAAATCCAAGGAAAAGATCGACAACAGACTGTCCAACTTGAAGGCCCGACTATATATCGTTTACTTCAGCCCGGGTTCAAGGCTCACACAGAAGGCAAACCAGTCAAAAAAATTTCTCCACCACGGGGAGTTTCCGGGAAGCGGGCTGGCCAATGCTGTGGTATGGCCGCATTTATTCTTGTTCGTGTGGCACGCGAGGCCGGGTTTGTTAGTATAGCATGGCGTTGATGACCTACGGGTGGGATGCACGACGTCGCACACACATGATACCCTCTCGACTCGGAACGGCTGAACACTTTCGACACCAGCTCCCTTGCTCCCTTACCGAGTACAGGGGTAATGTCCCCAAGGATTAGCTCCTTTCATCTAGGAAGCCTTCAGGCTAATTACGGCAGAATTTTTGGCATATGCAGCAGACTGACGAGAAATCGTTGCATCCCATTATTCAATTCAACTATTACTGATCTCTTGACCCAGAACATTGGGGCTCATTATGTGTAATTAACAATTCACACTTTACGGAACAATGTGTCCAAGGAAAAGAAACCACACTGGATTTCCACCGACTACAATTCACCAGGAGAAAGTTTGCAGCTTTGTGCCTAGCAAGTTACAAACTTCTACCACTGATACACAGCCAATCAGTTGACTTAGAGGAGCTGGACAGCAGCAGCTCCAACACACATGGCACCCAACATGGCGGTGCCAAGTTTCAAGTTCACGCCCTTGCCAAAATTAGCTTATTTTAGTTTGGATGGAGGCTCGCGGTAAACTTACGGCAGCGGTCACAACACCAGAAGAAGTTGGCTGGGCGCCGGTCTGGTTGGTGGTTTGAAAAGGCTGCTGGGTAACAGTGGCAATGATGGACGAGGCCTGTGAGGAGTGACCTTGTACTGGCGGCACGACAGTTGATGCCACGGCTGAAGCGGCAGCAGAGGTGGCAGTCGAGGCGGCATTCAAGATAGTCGTCACATCGTTCTCGGGGCTTGACTTGACAGCAGTATCAACGGGAGCATTGCTGGTCGTGGATGGGGTGGTAACGGCAGGAGCCTGGCTGGTAGCCGGGTTCTGTTTGTCCCAGGAAAAAGAAAAAGTCAGTAAAGGAGCTTTTCGAGTCTGTTGGCTGAGCGCATTGGGGGAGAGCAACATACCACAGGACGGGTAGGAGGGTCGATGGGCACACCCATGTCTGCAGCTTTCTGTTAGTCCAAAGAATTACTCTGAATCGGCGGCCTTTCACGAACCTTTGCAAAGACTAACACCAAAGTTGACTGCATCTTGGGCATTGTCACCACACTTGGAGTAAGCGCACTCTGCGAAATAGTTCTGGAGGTCCTTGCCCTTGCAGAAGCAAAGGTACATACTGGCCTCCCTGCAGGAAAGCGGAGGATGCTCAGTAACCACGGACTGGAAGCAGTCGACCTTTTGAACGATATCAGCTAGATGGAGTCTACAGGTTCTTTTCGCCTCGAACTTACAGCACACAGGGACTGTGCAGAAACAGTGGCCAGCAAGGCGGCAGCAGCAACGACAGTGGTTTTCATGATGTTTGAGAAGACACTAAAACTCGAGGAACGAATGTATAAATGTTGCTGAAGGGCGGAGATGAGCGAACGAAAACTGAAGCTCGAGAGAAGAACTATGATCAAGTCTCGGACTCCTATAAAAACGGTGGACAAACCCACGATGACTAGGAACGCACCCGAGAAGGTAGATATACCTCACCCCGAGCCAAGCCAGTATGGCAGGCCCCAAAATCCCGACTCGTTTTGTTACAGGGCTTGTTTTCGAGGCGTAGTCGAGAACAATGAATGCTTCAACTCGGAGGGAGCTCTCCACGTTGGTGATGTGGGGTCTTTGTGATGGGTCCATTAAATCTATCAGCTCTTGGTGTTTTGAGCTTCATAGTTATCAGATCATCAGATAACAGCTGAATGGGCTCGGACCTGTCAGGCCCACACCGCACGAGGCATGCCTGCAAATAGGCTTCTCCTTTTTTCTCCTCGAAAAATGCTGGTGCAATCATTAGGAGGGACCAAGGCCATACTCCAGTGCACATCGTCCCCAGGCGGAGCGAGAAGGAGTACAACATACCGCCTGGAGGCTGCTGTGGCTGAAACTCTAAGTGCTCAAGGATGGCACCCCATCTTATCAGATCCTCGGGCCCTGGTTGTCTTGACAGGGGGACCCTTGCCCCTTGGTCGCCCTGTCAGGCAATACTAGCACCCTACTCCGTACTACATTTTAGTCAACATTGAAGGCGGCTCCATAAACGCTCTCTGGTCCCTGTTTTGCGATTCAGCTGAGATAAAATAGCTCCAACCAACCCCATCTTTAAGCGACGGGTTTGCATACCAACAGACTGTTGTCCAATGAGCACCATAACCGACTACTCCGGTAGCGCGCTGGGAAAAGTCGGTGTCATGCGAATAGATGAAGTTGAGAGCTCGGATCAGCAGAGTTTGCTGAGGCCCAACTCGTGGCTTGCATTGTGCAAGGTGAAATGAACCATGACGAACAAGCTTGGAGGCAAAGACATACATGTTAGCGTCACCTAAAGACGCCGTTTCCCGGGGTATGATTCAGTTTGCCGCTTCTCAAACACCGTTTTTACCCGTGTGCTTCTCGGTCACTGGGTTATCAAAGTATCAGTCGACGTCTCGGCCAAGCAATGGAGAAGCTTTTGATACTAGCCGGATGCTTTGAGCGGCCGCAAGCCCCTGTCCTAACGCTACTTGAATATGTACATACAAA